CACATTCGACGAGCTGAAGTCTTACCTTAGCTCACCACCTCTACTGACTAAAGCCAAAGATGGAGAAATCCTCTATCTGTATCTGGGAATTTCAGATGAAGCCATTAGTGCGGTTCTGGTAAGAGAAGAAGCCAAGCAGCAAAAACCAATATATTATATCAGCAATGTGCTGCATGGAGCCGAGCTGAGGTATCCTATAGCGGAGAAAGCAACCTTAGCAGTTGTCACTTCGGTCAGAAAGTTGAGGCCATATTTTCAGTCGCACCCGATCATTATTCTTACAGACCAACCCCTTCGGCAGATTCTGCAAAAGCCTGAGTGTTCTGGAAGATTAATTAAGTGAGCGATAGAACTGGGGGAATTTGAGATAACATTTCAGCAAAGATCTGCAATCCGAGCTCAGGCACTGGCAGATTTTATTGTAGAGTGCACTCCAGGTAATTCCATTCCTACTCCGGAGCCCAAAGACTGGACCTTATACGTTGATGGGGCATCTAGTAGCAAAGGTTCAGGAGCTGAAGCCCTCTTGATTGGCCCAGATGGGTACCGAAGTGAACATGCCCTGAAGTTCAACTTCGATGCAACAAATAACATGGCCGAATATGAAGCTCTGCTACTTGGTCTACAGCTAGCATTGGAGTTGAAAATCAGCGCAATCCAGGTGTACAGTGACTCCCAGCTGGTGGTGAATCAAATCAACTCGATCTGCGAAGTTGTCGATCCGATAATGATGAAGTATGTAGCCCTTGTGGCCGAGCTAAAGTGCAGATTTCAGAGGTTCTATCTGAGCAAAATCCCCCGAACTGAGAATGAACAGGCAGATTCACTCTCTAAATTCGCCTCTGATAATTCTTCACATTCCAGATCAGTTTTTGTGGAGGTCTTAGATGAACCAAGCTTCATGAAGCCACGGATAATGGAGATCAGCACCGACCCAGGCACACCAAGCTGGACTGACCCAATCCTCTCCTTCTTACGAGACGGGGTAGTGCCCGAAAATAGGCAGGAGGCAATAAAGTTGAGGAAGAAAGCATCTCGGTACGCACTTGTTGATGGGGTCCTCTATAAGCGATCTTTCTCTCTACCCCTTCTACGGTGCTTGAATCCCTATGAAGCAGAATATGCACTCAGGGAGGTGCATGAAGGTGTCTGCAACAGTCACGTGGGTGCTCGAACTTTGGCTCATAAAGTCCTTAGACAGGGTTATTATTGGCCCAACATGTACAAGGATGCCATTCACTTTGTTCAGAGATGTTCGAAATGCCAGTTCTTTGCGCACCTGACTCACCAGCCTGCAGAAGAGCTCACTACTCTGGTAGCACCATGGCCATTTGCTCAGTGGGGATTGGATCTTTTGGGTCCATTCGTGAAGGGGGTTGGTGGTGTAACCCACCTGATTGTTGGTGTAGATTATTTCACAAAGTGGGTTGAAGCTCGGCCGTTATCCAGTCTTACTTCCAAGAAGGTTGAAGACTTTGTTTTCAACTCAATCATCTGCAGATATGGGATCCCGAATCAGATTGTGGCTGATAATGGACCTCAATTTAACTGCACCTCTTTTTGAGATTTATATTCCAGCTACGGGATTAAACTGCAATTCACCTCGGTTTACCATCCAGAGTCCAACGGCATGGTCGAATCTGTTAACAAGTGCATCCTAGAAGGTATAAAGCCGAGGTTGGAACAACACAAGGCCAAATGGGCAGACGAGCTCAACAACGCCCTCTGGGCATACAGAACTACGAGTCGAACTGCCACAGGTATTACTCTACACCTGGCCTATTTGATTAATTTTATATTACTCTACTTCTTCTGCTACGATTTTACCGAAGAGCAAATATGCATAACGTGTAAAGCGCATTCTAAAATTATAATCCACTGAAATAGGTGAAACACCATATCATCTGGCCTTTGGTACCGAAGCAGTCATTCCTATCGAGATAGGAGTTCCAAGCTTCAGAGTCACCCATTTCGATGAAGGACGAAATGGACAACTGCTTCGGGAGAACCTTGATCTGCTTGATGACCTCAGAGAAGAAGCACGACTTCGAACTCTAGTCTACAAGCAGAAAATAGCAAACTTCTACAATAAACGAGTTCGACCCCGATCATTCAAAATAGGAGACCTTGTTCTCAAGAAAGCTGGTCTAACGGGGTTCGAAACTCGATTCGGCAAATTAGCACCAAACTGGGAAGGCCCCTACACTGTGGCCGAAGTGCCGCACCCAGGTGCTTATATCCTACGGGACACTAAAGGCAAGCGGGTTCCCAGAGTCTGGAATATCAATAACCTGAAGAAGTTTTACCCTTAAGTATACTTCATTTGAGTGAACTTTGTTTTGATAATTCCTACTTTCACTCCTTCTGCTCAATTTAGAGTGTATTTTAACTCAATTCATTAATAAGTTTCACTTCACGACCGAAGTAATTCAGTTCTGTGTACTCTTCTATACGTTGGAAGTGAGTTTCATTTATTCTGACTCATTCAGCCACTTCATTTTAGGGTTATAATCCTACTAATCAGTTACACTTTATTTTTGAAGTGCTTTACTTCGTCTTCAAGGTATATCTTATGGATATCCGAAGTCAATTACTATACTGTTTATCCGAGGTCAGAACCTTGTGTTAATTCCAGTTA